AAAAATTTATATCTTATTTTTCTAAATTATTTTCGATTTTCGGATTATTAATTTCAATATTGTTGAAAATAATAATCCGAAAATCAAAAGTAATATGAAAATTTTTTGGCTTTCCTGTTAACGTGCCATGTATATAAATTTGTTTTTTAAGTGTGAATTTAATGTAGCAAGTACAGATTTAAAATAGGCTACAAGGCAAGACAAGTAACTAGAAATATTTCTGGAACTTAACCTATAATATCCTATAAAATCCATATTTAATTTTCTACATTTGAATTTTAGTCCATTCCATTCTAGTCCATTCGGTCTGTATATTTTTTGAACATTTTTTTAATAATTTTTGTGCACTGTGCTTCTATGTTTTTTTAAATAATAGAGGATAAAGCTCTTTTATCTCTATATCATCCATTTCTTAAGGCGGGCCCCTTTTCCAAAAGTTTGCTTCTATTGATTCATTATTTTAATGGTTTTTTTTTGTGTTGTTTGCTACATTAGGTATAGCAAGTCGAAAGTTCTAGGAATTTCATCAAAAGAATGATCAGATTTATGCTTTTCCATAATTAATTTTCTAATATTTTAACAAATAGGTTTGCATTTAGCTTAAATCATTCAAATTATTCTTCTGAAATTCTGCATAAACATAAACTGATTTTTGCCGTAACTTTTGAATAAATAAACTTTTGAATAATAACAAGTAGTGCCGCAAATTAAAGGTCAATATTTTTAATTTTGAAATTATTATATAATACAATATTTTTTTTTTCTAAATATTTAATTTATAATAAATTGTATATTGTATATTCAATGGTTATGTCGTCTTGTCTTTTATTATAATGCTTCATATGTTTCATTCGAAAGATTAGTAAAGAAACAATAGGTTTATAAGAATAACTAATGGAAATTGTTACATACAACTTTAGAGCAGATGGATGACGTGATCAAAGGAACGTGTTAAAGTAGAAAGATTTCCCTTTACTGCTATTATACTAGGCGAACTGAGCCACAGAAGTATGGAGAAATTACCGGCAAATTATTCTTCACATTCCTTTATACTGTTATCCAAAAAATTACCAAGTATTGTTTAAGAGAGATGTTACATATACAATCTTCTATTTGAAACACTGCACAATCGCAAGAACATATAAATATTTATTGTGCCTATTACACTAATGATATTATTAATTCTTATAAGAATAAGTAACAAAGATTTTTTTACAACCATTTACAATATTTATTTTAAAACTGACATAAACGATTATTAATAATTTCGTAGCAAAAAAATTTTGAGCATTTTTGGGCATTTTTAATCCCTCTTGACATATTATTTTTTCTTTTAAAATTTTGACAATTTCATTATGTCAAGATCATAATTTAAGCTGATTACAATTATTGAGATTTCTAATAATTCATTTATCTTAATAATAAATCATTAACCTCCCTCACAATGTTAATCACTCCCATAGTGAAAAATGTGGCTGATGTTAGAAAAAAATGTTTTGCAAACTTTCCATTTATTTCCTTTCTTTCAAATAATTGATTTCTAATGAGATTATTTATTATTCTTTTATATTTTCAAATTAAGTAATAAATGTTTTCAAATATAATTAAAAATTTTTCAAATAACAAAATTTAAATTAAAGAAACGAAATGTACAAATACGATAAACTTTATCAGTTAATTTTACTTTAATTTAAAAATGAAATTTATAGGTAGATACAAACAACATAATTATGAATAAATAAGTATTGTATGTTTGTATATATATATATATATATGTACATATTAAATACAGGTAATAATAAATTTCTGAGAATTCCGTTTTTCACTTCTAATTAAATGTCATCATTAAGCGATAAGATTATCCAATATCAATAAAAGAGTAATTAAGAGAGAAATAATGAAAATATTTTGTGTGTCTATATACATACATATATAATAATATTATTTGATTTATATGCCTGTTTCTATATTATTAAGTGATTGTATATTATAGCTTGGTAAAAAAGAAAAATGTAATAGAATTGGAAGGGGAATAATTTTGTTATTACAAGGTTTGATCAATAATATTATAGGGTACGTATAATATTTTTTGAATATTAAAAATATTTCTGCTACTTCTTAATAACAATTTTGTGGTAAATAAAGCGAAGGTGAAGAAAAATATATATATAGCTTACAACAGTTTCCAAAACAACATAGAAAACTGGGTCTTAGAGGTATTAAGAATTATGGATCTGCTGTCACTTATTGTACAAATGTTTCTGTACAATTTTCTATTCTGGAAAATTCTTGTTAAATTCAAAAGTTTCTTATTTTAGTTATGAAGGTGAAAATAATTTTATATTCTTGTAGTATTAAATTAGAAATTAGTTCCATTGGAGAATAAGTACTTACTTAGTTCATTGGTATTGAGGCGAATTTTAGCTCGAACCCATATTTATTTGGAATTTTTATGCTTGTGTAATTGCATTTTCTTTTAAATATTTTTGTTTGTCCCTCTTAATATTTAAAATTTTATACTTTAGAAATCTGTTCAAATTCCAAAAACTTTTATTGTAATTTGTAAAAATTTAATAGCTTTGAATTATGCGTGTAATAAAAATTTATAAGAATTTATTCATTTTCATATTATTTCGGTTTTAAATTTACACATGCCGTAAATAAAATTTATTATATTTAAACTTCAAAGTCAGAAACTATGATCTCAAATTAAGACCTAAAGCTTGACTAGAATTCGAGTTGATTTTTTTGCTGTATTAAATATTTTTCTTATTTAATAATTATGATATACGTGTACATACACAAGCTTCTGCAACCTAATTTTATTTGATATAATTTAGTAAAAATTTTTTAGAAATTGTTAAAGAACAAACAGATGCGAAAAGATTTCAGTTTTAATTCTAATCAACTCTGAAAAGCGTCGTCAATTCAAATATTTTGCTTGCCTTCTAATTCCTTACTTGAAAAACTTTAAATTATGGAACCAAGTTTCTTTTATAATACATTTTGTTTTATATAACAACATATACTATAAGTATACAGTTGCAATAAATTTCAAGGTAATTTCGTGTTATCTTCCTTTTTTATTTTGCAATTTTGATTAAAAAGGATAGGAAAAAGTTGAATATTATTTTAATACTCGTACGATAGCGTTTGCAAGTCAAATTCCCTCACAAATTATAACAATTTTATTTTTCATGTTTTAAGAATTTTTCTTTTATTAGAAATCATAAAATTTTGCGATTTATTGTCATTTTGAATCTGAATGTGGATAAAACTTTTATGACAAAATTGTATTTTTTTTATTTATTTCCTATTTAGAGAAAGTATGCGAATTTACAAATTGGTGCAAGTTCAAATTCGCCATATAGATTCACATCAATTAAATAACGTTAAATATGGTGAAAATAATTAATTTTTTTAAAATAACTATTCTATTCGCCTCAGTGTTCTTTTTGAAACTGAAAATTATACAGGATTTCTTAACAGTTAACAAATAACACAGAAAAAAAATCTTAGAAAAAAAATTTTTTTTTTTTAACTGGCTTTAGTTTCAAAGTTGGAAGTGTAACTTATGGGCAACATAATTTTATTTTATTAAATAATATTATTTTCATCTTTCATTGCATTCCAGACGAAAAACAATTATAAATTAACTTTTATTATTTATATGTTATCTTAACAGATTCCTCATGTCTAGCTAGACAAATGAAATTTGGTTTTTTAGTAATTTCTAAAAAGAGACGAAATCATAGATGTAATGGTGATCCAATAATATAATTGGAAGGTATATTTTCATAATTTTAGATATGATCACATTCTCAGATATCATAATATTACCATATCATTAATTTCAAACGCAATATTATCAAGTTTTTTATTTTTTTCTCAAGTTTTAATTTATCAAACGATTTTTAATAACAACAATTTGAATTAACATATTTTATAAGCTTAGTATCCTGGAAATTTTCTTTATATTCAAGTAATTTCGCTCTGATTCCAGTCGAATTCTAGCTTTAGGTTTAATTCAGCTCAAACATATACTTTTTCATATTCCTGTTAAAATCTTAAAGAGAAAATTTTCATTTAATATTAAATTTTTATAAAATAATTATAAATTTAATTAAATGAACAAATTAAACATTTAAATAAAATTATAAACTAATAATTTTAATAAAACTTAAATTTTTTACCTTCACATTCTGAAGTTTCCATTACCTGTACCTATATTTTTTTCCTGTGTAATTTTCTTTCGAAAAAATTCACTTAGACAATAAAATTTTTTTATTTCTGCAATAATTTTGCACAAAAACTAACAAAAAGGAAAAATGTTTGAAGAGGATTAAAAGCACGTAAGTTTCTTAATTACTAAATTGGATTAGAAAATAAAAAAGCATAAAATAAAAATTGGAATTTTTTTGTTTTTCAAATTATGTGGGTACGAGTAACATACACATACACAAACACGTGATGTAGGTGGGTGTATATGTGCATAAAATACAAATATAATTTTATCTATTTAATTTACAATAATATGAGAGAAGAGATAACATTTTGATTGAGAACATAAATTTACCGTTGATTTTAGACATGTGCTTTTAATAATAGAAAATTTTATTATATTTACCGTTATATAGTAGTTTTTTCTTTTCTTATCAAAATGATAATCAAACGGTAATGGCATCAATTTCCCGTCTTTTCACAAAGCAAAGAACAAAAATTTTTTGTTTCTATTTTCTTATCCACTAACATTTTTGCTTGTTTTTTATTATTTATTTCGTTACACGATTTATGAGTTTTATAAAGGTTCGTTTTTTTCTTTATCTGACTAGTCTTATACCGTTAAGAAAGTACATATCTATCTTAATATATAGCCAGGATATATTTGTATAATTTTATATATTTGTATGTGAATAAAATTTATATTTTTAGTACATTATTTTGTTGATGTGCTAGTCGTCCTAATTTAAGTGGATATGAACATTACATGTGAATTTATTTTCTAAAAGAAGCATTAAAATTAAAAAAATAAAATAAAATGTTTAGAGAAGAGGACATGGACTATAAATATAAAAAAAAAATAAGAAAATAAAAGAAATAAAATAAAATATATAAATAAAAATAAAATGTAGGTATGTAGTATGTGAAAAAGGACATTTGAAACAAGGTTATATAAAGTAGAAGCAGGCTTGACATTCATTCAATGGCATCTACATGGGTATGAGTAATGGAATATGAATTTATTTTCGCTTAAAATAATTTGTTAAGCAAATCGATTTTAAATAATATGCTTATATATATACATACATATATATGTCATTAAATATTATAATCTGTATATATATGTATATATGTAAGAACTAATAATAATATTTTAATCATATATAATTTAATTAATAATATAATTATTGTCTAATTGGTTTTGAATTAATAAAATAAATAAAAATCTTAATCTGTGTCTGAAAATTATTTGAAATTCATTTGAGAAAAACTTTAGAAATTCATAGTATATTTAAAATAAGAAATACTCTCGAATCTGAAATTTCAATTTCTTAAAGCAGTTATGAATTCAGAAAAAATTAATTAACTTGTTAAATTAAGAGATTTTCAAAAATTCATGAATTCATTTTCAAAACAATAGATGCCGGCTTAACTCTTCGCATAAAGCAAATATTCAAATATTTATCAAAAGTTTATAAAACAAAATTTTTATTATATACTTAGTTAAATTGCAATTTATGTATATGATATGGAAAATTGTTTAGAAATCAACAGTTAATTCAAATTTTATTTCAAAATTTTCAATACCTATAAGCAATTTAAATTAGTTCAAATTCAAATATTTTTCTTTTCTCTGCTAAATTAAAATTGTTTATTGTAATCCAGAGTAGAAATTTTGTTATAATTTTGCAATTTAAACAATAAATTCACTTTTTCTCATCTTAATCCGTCTGTATAGAAAATTTTGTATTAATCGAATTATTAAAATTTGATCACACATTTCTTTAATATTTTTCATTGTATATTTGCCAATCATATCACAACTCTATACCATTGTGCGTAGCATTTGTAATAATTATTAACTATATATGTTTAGATACTTTAAAATGTGAAAGTTAAATACAATTGATTTATTATAATAAATTGAAACAATAGGCTGCTGATTAAAAAAAAATTAAAATTGTATTAAATTCATATATAAAATAAATTCATTTTGGTAAATAATTTATATAGTATTTCTGCGTGTGTGTGTGCGAATATAAAATTTTTAATAAAAACAACGACACCAACATTGAATTGGTGCCGTTGTTATATATAATAATAACAGTATTTTGCAAAATTTTAAAATTTTCTTATGAAATTAAATTTATTTGAAAATAATAATCAAAAATATTTTGAAAATATAATTTCTATACTCTTCTTAAGTAATGTTTTTATAACACACTACCCGAATTTGATTTTCATTATAACAGCAAATTGCAATACACCTTGTATAAAGTTCGACGAGCCTTTTGGGAAAATATTATGTGCTATGTTGGTTGCATTTATTAATCTTTGAATAAAAACTATTATGAACTTCATTTAATGTTTATATGTATGTATACATAGTATTAATACTTTTAATTAATATGAACTTATGCATTATTATACCATGCTTGTAGTAGACGTTGTAATGTAACATTGTGTTATTTAATGGTCCAATTGAATTTTTATAAAAATTTCGGATTTGACTTATTATATTTGTTACTGATATTGAAAGTAAATTAGCAGCTATTATGGGGCAATATAAAAATTAAATGTCATACATATTATAACCTTAATTTTTTTATATTAAATCACTGTGATTGTTAAAAATGTTAAGTTAAAAATGAATTGACAAAAATATAGAGAAATTTCAAAGGCAAAGAGCTCAATCAATATTTTATTTATGAATATTGAGTTGAATGAAAATAAATTCGATTTATAAAGAGAAATTTTATTTTGCAATACTCATAATGTGCTTAATTTTAATTGATTTGAATTGACTTCTTAATTATTGATTTACATTATTAATTTAGAAGAAATTTTTAATTTACTAAAATGATATTGAAAATTTTTATTTGATTTTAATATTTCTCATTGCTACGACAAAATAAAATATAGTTAAATACACCAAAATCCAAAAGTGATTGTTAAATTCCAAAATAAATTTTTATGTCCAAAAAAAGTTTTGATGAATGACAAATTTTTGTGGTCTTCAGTGAATTTCTCGTCTCACAACATTAAAAAAATTTGGAACAAAATATATTAACAATTACAAACTGTAAACAAGAAGTTTAAAACTAAATCCGTTATGTTTTTCTACGGGTTCAATTGTATATACGTAGTATTAAGCGTCCGTGCCGGTAAAATATTATAGTGTCATAATGCATGACATACAACATAGAATACAAAACCATTCATCATTTTAATTCAAAACAAAAATATTTTTTTTTAATTTTAAAAATTTGTATGAATTTAAAAAAAAAAATAAATTTTTTCCTGTACCAATTTTAAAGCCAAAATTGTTAGTAACCTAAAACACATACTAAAATACTTAACAAAACGTAATAATGAAGCTTAAAAGTTCCTCTTAAAGTATTCGAGTAATAACGTGCTTGTCTCAATTATATTGTTTTTTCTCTAAAATTAATCAAGTTAAAGGTTAAAACTATAAGCATATACAGGTACGAGTAATAAAGTTTAAGATGTTGCGATTATAAAATGATGAAGGTTGAATTACAGAACCTTTTGTTTTTTGTGATTAAAGTCAAAGTTACAACATAAAGAAATTCAAAATATACTTTATTTTTGAAAGAGTGTGTTTTGAATGTTTTTTAAAATTTCCAATCTAACTTTTATATAAAATCAATTTTAAAATTAGGTCAAAATAACGATTGATGTTTTTTTTTTTCGAAATAAAATTGCTAAATTGAAAAATGGAGAGAGAAACACAACTCTTTTAAAAAATAAAATCAAACAACTTTTTAAATGTTTTATTCTGCTAGAGGATTACTTTTCTAATTAAACATGTTGTTCATATGATGATGGCATTTTAAAATTTAATATTATTTGCTATACTATATAAAAACCATTAAGTATACAAGAAAATATATATATATATATATGTATATGTATTACAGTTTTAAAAGCGTTAACACGTTTTTCTTTTTAATTTCTTTGAGTTTATAGAAAAACATTGGTTTTATTCTACAATATATACTTATATAATACACTTATATATATATAATATTATATTGTATGAAATATATGTATGATATATAACTACATTCATTACAAGTACATATACAAATATAATATTAGGTACATTATAAATAATAATAAAAAAAGAAAAGTTCAATATATTGTATGGGAGCTTTTAGTGAAAATTCTGTACTTACACAATATTTTTTTTCATTTCCGAGGAAAATAATTTTTCTCTTTACATATGTATTATGCATATGTATATGTATGTATGTATGTATATGTTAACTTTTTGCTTCATATTTATATGATATATATTTGTATATATTTTGTACATTAAATAAAATTAGGTTTTCGAGCTAAACCTCATAAAATGAATTTTACTCAAAATTGTACCTACATACACATTATTATATTATGTATGTAGGTATATTCTAACGTCTATTATATAAATATGTATTGTATATATCCAATAATAATGGAACTGAGCATAATATAATATACTGAAGCTTTTTGTTTTCATTTACAATTATAAATGCCTACAATATACATATTATATATGATATTGATATTATGTATAAAATTGTGTCTGTGTATATGTCAATATAAACTTTTGCTTTTCTTGAAATCTTAACTATTTTTAGAGGGATTTCAATTGACATTATGTATATATATGTATTTATATAAATATATATTATATATTTTCCAAAAACACACATATAGAAGAGAGAAAAATATTCGAAATAAATCGATATTTCTGTCATTGCAAAATAATAACATTTTTCAGAGTAGAAGTAAAATAATAATAAAATAATAAAAAAAAAATATTAAGTGAAAAAGAAAAACATCCTTAATACAATAATGTTGTCTTTTGCGTTTCTCATTTAAGAATTTGCAAAGCTCGAATAAAGTTCGCAAAAAATTATTTATTTATTTTTTTTTTGTTTGACTCTCGAATGAAAACTGGGAAAGAAAAATAATAAAAATTGTGTATAAATTGAAATTTTTTATAATTATTTTAATTTAAAATAAGAAAAAATTAATTCGGAAAAATTAAATTCGGAAATTTCGTAAAAAAAATATTGTGTGTATAACCATTTAAAATTGGAAGCGATAAAGGATCATAAAAAAATAATATTAGATCAAGATGTAAGGATTCTGTAAAAGAATAAAAAAATTATTCCCTTCTTTTTTATGGTTTTTGTTTCCTTCATTATTTAGTTTTTATGCTGTTCTTATTATGCCCTATTTATTTGAGATTTTTATTCATAAATTATCAGCTGATATTTACTTAAATACAAAAAAAAAATCACAGAAAAATCAAAGAAAAGTAATAATAAAAACAAATAGAAGACACAAAAAAAGAAATTATAAAAAAAAAAAACAAACAAAAGTGAATTTATTTTGTTATTTTTTTTTTTTTAATATTTAAATGAAAGTGAATCTTTTCCTATGCCTTAAATTAAAAGGATTATAAAAGTATCCGAGAGAACAATATAAAAAAAAAACTAAAATAAAATCAAAATAATAAAATGAAATCAAAGGGAACTGTTATATAACAATAAGGCACCTATATCTAGGTTTTAATTTTGTGCCTATACATTTTTATATACACACAATTATACATAATAATACCTATATAACTATATGTACGAGTATGTATATGCATAAAACTAATTGTATTTAAAGGAAAAAGAAATTATTTCCATTAGAATAATAAAAGTTCCCTGTGGATAAGTGAATTTGTTGCGATTATTTTTTATTACAAAAAAAACAAAGAGAGAGAAACAGGAATAAAATATAAATATATATAAAAATATTATATTAATATTATATTATTAATATTATTAATATATATATGTATAAGGTGTATCTACATAATCGCAATTAATAGAAATATTAATATATAAAAAAAATGTAGGTTAATTCTTGTTGCTTTTTATAAAAAAAGAAAAAAAACAAACAAAACAATAAAAAAAATCAAAAAAGAGAAAATTTAAAATTGTTGTAATTTTATTTAATGTGTGTATTATGGGGTACTCGTGAATCATATAATAATATTTATAAGGGCTATATAACCTCATTTTTAAGGGCATATAATATGCAAATCGTATGTACATTATTATTTGTAATTGAAGTACTTAAATATATATGTATATGGTACTTCAATAGGTTATTAAGTTTTCAAAAATAATTATAATTTTTTATTATTTAATTTTAATAGAATTACCATAAATTTTTGTGTTTTTGTATGGGGAAAATTTTTGAAAAGTTTTCTTTTCTTAAAATTTATTTTAATTCTTTTACAAAAATTGAAATATTTTTTTTGTTTTTCTATTCATAACTATGATATGCACATAATATATGTATATAAAATTTGTAGGTATACTTGCAAATATAATTTGTAATTTAATATATAGGTTTTCAATTTCTTTGTTTTTCCGAAAATTGTTTCAAAAAATAATTTACATATTGGGTAAAAATAGAGCGTGTGAAATGATTCTAATTACCAATAATTTACGAAAAAAAAATTGCATATTTTTAGGAACATTTGATAATTTTTTTTAAATTCAAGACAAAAGTATATTTTTATTTGTAAAGAGACATAAAAAGTAAAATTAAATAATAATTAGTAAATTTCGATAATAAACATTAAAATTAAATAAAAAATCGCGAAAGTCTCGTTTTAATTTCATCAAAAGGTTAAAATAAATAAGTGGTATATCTATGTGGATTTAATGTTGAATGGCGACTTGTCTACACTTATCATTAGTTTGTATATGAATATGTACTTATAATGAATAACTTGAAAAGTGAAAAGTAGGAAATTATTAAGAATAAAATATTAAAATAAAAAAATATTAAAAAAAGGATAAAATTATTTTTTGAAATTAAAGAAACAGAAAAAAAAATGGAATAAAATTGTACTAAAAATATAAATTTTTGAATATGTTAGAATGGCGACACTCTTGTTGTTGTCTGTTATAAAAAAAAATTTCCGCATATCCATGTACATAAATATATAAATTTTTTATGATGTCTGGGAAAAAAATGTCTGTGAGAGAATACTGCAAAAGAATTGCTAAAAATGTATTATTCAAGTGATATTTATTATTCAATAAACTGTGTTTCAGTATAGAATAAAATTAACTTTTAGAAAGTTAGCAAAAATTTAAAATTTTGAGTTCTTAGTGTGCCCAAATTAATTGCAACATCAGCGAACAACAAATTTAAAACAACTAATTCTAAAATATTCATTTTCTTCTTAAAAAAATGTTACAATACATTTAATTTAATTCAAGGTCAATGAATTACATATTACAAGTTAAAGCCAAAACTGTGGTTGTCTCTGAATTAGAAAAATATTAATTAATGGGTTAAGTGCTTAATTCTTAATGAGAAATAAGTTCTTTATAAAATTATTCGCACTTAAATTGTTGAAAGATTAATCAAATTCAAGTGTTTTTTTTTTGTTGTAATTTATTACAATATTGAAATATAAAATACTCGGTTTTACTAGTTTTAGAATGTATTAAAAGTTATTTAATTTAAAGCACAAACTGATTATTTTGTTTTAAATGTAAGCTTAAATTAAAATATTCTTACAAAATTATAATTAAAAGCAGACTTATAAATTGATACAAATAAATCAGCGATTTTAAACGTGTAACATGACAAAATGTTATTCGAATAGTTCGAATTTTTTATGTTTTAATTTATAGCTTCGGAACTCATGATATTTTCTTCGACTTTAAATTAAATATAGGAATATTAATAAAATTATCATAGAATATGATAGATTTAATTTGCAAAAAATTTAAGATTCTGATAAAATATAGAGTTCCTTAACTTGATTTAGATAGATTTTGCTTGTAACCACAGAAAATTTGTAGTATAAGCACATGTATAATTTGTCACTTGAATAATAAAAAATTTATTTTACAAATGGGCTGATAAAAAATAATAAATTGTTATATTGAATATTCCGTCATTAAAAGTTGTAAAATTGTGTGTAATTGAAAATAATCACATTTCTTAAAACTTTTAAGAACACTTAAAAGAGAGTATATAGATTTTATTATATAGTATTGATTTTACAAATAAAAGCTTTTACTATAAGAAAATTAATCTATAATAAAAATTATTTTTCTTCTTTTTATTTTAGGTTCAATCGTAACATCAGAATGTCAACTACGGATAATAAAATCAAAATACAATTAAGACCAACTTTACCAGGTTCAGGTCCAGGTATAATAAATCGACCTGATAAAAATCCATCACCATCAAAATTAATGATAAATCATGGTAAACCAAATTATACAATTAATCGTACCACCAATACACTAAGTCCAAAAAATAAACCATCAACCACCGAAACAGTAACATCACCGTCATTAGCATTCCCATTAAAACCAACAAACAATCCATTATCACCGGTACCATCAACAGCATCAGTAGGAGCAACATCTTCAACAACAAATCAAATTGAAAAAGTCATTTTAAAACATGTACCCTCAACAATAAATGTCAATTCAAATTCGGAACCAATAACATATTCAAATAAACCATCAGTTGTTTCACCAGTTAATTCATTTGTTTCACCTGGAATATCATCAAAAGCAGCTGCAACATCATTTGGTGTTAAATTAAAACAATGTAATAATAAGAAAAATATTCAAAATGGTGATATTCCGACAACAAATGGTCGAGATCAAAATCAAAGTGATGAACCAGAATTTGTTAGAAGACAAAAACAAATATTTGAAAAATTACAACTGAGGGAGCAGCAGCAACAACAACAACAACAGCATCATCAAGTAGAAACAAATACAATAACCACCAAAACTGAAATAAATTCTTCAAATGATTCAATTAATAATGATAATAATTACCAACAAAATGGACATAGTAACACATTAAACAATAATTCATCAATAAAACAAACTAATGGTTATCATAGCCAGGAGAAAACAACAACAATAATTGATAGTCATGTTAAAAATGTTACAAATCGTTTGGAAAATGTTTCATCAACAATAAATTCTAATATTAATAATTCAAATATAATTGATCAACAAAAGAGTTCTTCACAACAACAAAATAATAGTTTTAAATTACCACCGGGTGCAATATGTGGTAAACCAGCTATACCAGGTAAACCAGCAAATTTACAAATACCACCATCAGCTGCTAGATATCAACAACAAAATAATTTATTAAAAAATCAAAATAATTCAATAAATTCTAATAATGATTTGTCAACAACAGTAACAAGTAATACCGAAACAACAACAACAACAGCAACTACACAAAAACCAATAACACCGACTGTTAATGAAAATAATTTTGTTGATAATTCAATTGGTGTTAATTTTGAGCAAAAAACTATTGTATCATTTTCAAAAGATTTATCAACGGAACCAAATCGTTATCCAGATACTGTTAAAATAACAAAAACAATTAGTAATGGTAATGGAATTAATAAGAGTAATGATACTATTAATTTCAATGAAGATGATGTTGATGATGATGATGAAGGCCTTAAAGAATTTATTGCAATTGAAAAAACATCAAAATTAGCTGAAGAAATGGCACAAATAAAATTTGATATTAAAACTGATGAAGAAGATGTTACCATAACACCAGTTGTAATACGATAAATGAAGAAAACAAAAAAAAAACATAGAAAAAATCATAGAAAAAAAAAAACGTATTCAAATTCTATTTAAAATCAAAAATGAAAATATTTACGAAAAACGACTCCTTTTAACTTATAAAATAAATCCTTATATATTCATGTACATGTATATGCATAAATATGTATTTGTTATTTTCATTTTATACTTATACATTTATATTTATAACAGAGAGTTGTGATGGTGTTTAAATCCTGTGGTTAATTAAACTTTAACACATTCTATTTTTATAATATTATTAATTGTATAAAAAGGATTTTATTTTAAAATAGTTATTGTTTTTTTTTTTTTTTTGTTTTTTTCTCTGTATAGTTAATAATATGTTTGTATATGTGTTTTTATATATATTTAAGTATCTAATGTACTTTATTTTTTAAATAATAATTTTAATAACATAATTTTTGCTGTGTTTTTAGATGTAAATTAATTTAATAATAATTAAATAATTAATATTGAAAATTTGTTTTTTAAACAATAATTTTGTGCAACGAAATCAATCCTATAATGTCTTATTAATGTTGAAATTTGTTTAAAAAAAAAACAACCTATAAAATGAAGGAATAGAAATCAATTAAATTGTATTTTGTTCCGTCAATTTTAGATTTAATAAATTTAAGATGATTTTATTAAAATTCGAAGAACAATTTATCACAAGTTTTTCTAAATCTTAAAATTTTTTGAGCTAATAATATTCCAAAATTACTTTAGTAGATTAATTAATTTTTCAACAAATTAATTAAAATATTATATTTATTGTTAATGTAGTACAATAAGCTTCTGACTTGGGCCATTTTTGATAAAGCCAAAACAATATCCTGCTTTTAAGAATTGCATCAAAAATATGAATAAATCTGTAATTGCATTACTTTAGCGATATAAAAAGTTTTCTATAGATTTGCTTTATGTAATGTTATTTTCAATTTAAAAAAGAAACCATTATGGTATTGTCTGCTAAGATGCAATTTAAAGTGCAACATTGCCCACCGTCAGAGTGTCTTTTTTTTGATATTCAATTTTAATAAAATTTATTAGTTAGTCCGATACTTTACCGAATAAACTTGAAATAATATGAAATTTCAAAAAAGTTCATCAATTATTAGTTGTCTTTTAAATACATTGAAAAATATTAAATTCATTCTAGTTGCTGGAATGTAAGACATAATGTATTCGAATGATCAATATCTTACCTTTAAAAATCTGATACGAAAATCTTGATACAAAATTTTCATTATATTCAGTTCAGTTATGAATTGAACACTCACTATGCTACGTTTGTTCATTAAAAATACTTACCTTTGACATCTTTCCTTTTTAAATTTATCACATTCTAAATGTATTCGAAATTGACTGATGGTTATTATAACTTTGGTGTTATTATAATATAGTGCTATTTTTAACTAAAATATAAGATTAACGGAAGTTATTGATACTATATCCTGTTAGATCATTTTAGTTTTATTTACGTGGTCTAAATAATCCTGTAGGAATTTATGAAATTAAAACTTCTCATAATAAATTAATATTTGATTAAAAAATTGGCATAATTACAAAATTTTGTCGTCTTTACAAAATTGAATTTTTGAATAATTTTACAAATTGCCCTCAAGTCTTCTGGATCATTTGTCTTGCATGAATATTAGTTTTATAAAAGATCAAGACAAGTCTCTTTATTAAACTCTTATTAATTTTTATTAAATTGAATCAACAATTGTTGATAAAAGGAAAAATATTTAGTTTATTACAAGTCATATATGAAATTTTTATAAGCTCTTCTATTCGCTGAAAATTGCATATATGTATGTATGTAAATAGATTAATAAAATTTTTGTGATTAAAAAATAATTTGATTTTAAAAAATTATTGGTCTGTTTTAATGTACCTAAAATTAATCATAGTAGTTAAAAGGAAAGGATCATTATGGAAATCAAGTGAAGTTATTGAATACAGAAACTCTAACTTAAAATATTTTTTTTGGTTCCCATTTAAATTTGAATATTGTTCACCCTTGTTTTTTCAAACCAATTAGTTAGATAAGAATTTTAAATGCTTTTATTATAAACGAGATACGAGTAGCATATCCAAAATTCCATTAGTAATAATCCTTCTTATCAATATTGTATTAAAAAATTTTATGGTAGTTCGATAACGTAAAATTATCATAAAGGACTACACTTCTTATATTATAGAATATATTGCTTAGGTTTGGAATGACTTGTGATAATTTGGAATAGAATCGATTTTATTTTAATATGTACAATTAATTAATAGATAAAATATTGCAAATTAATTTTAATATTTTTTACCCAATTAATATAATTTTTAAGAAAAAATTTGTATATTGAATTTATATATGTATGTATGTATATATAGATATGTGAATAAGCAAATTAAATTCCTGATTAACTCTTGTAATAGATTTTTTTTATTTTAAAATTTTAGACTATTCATTATCATTATGTAACATCTTAGATTAAAAATTTATTAAAAAAGAAAAATTCTGTTGCCATATACAATTATTTTAATATTTTTATGGTATATGTATAATTTATACATATGAAATATATATATATATACAAATATGCATATATTATATACATTATTATAAATATATTACGTATATATTATAAATTTTATTGCTGTTATCGAAACTAATTTAGAAGTTAAATAAAAATGTATAATGATTAAGTGTTTTTAAATTATTATCTGGCATTTTATTAATAATTTTTTATTTTTTTTTTTAAAATTTAGCATTTTTTATAATCACATAATTTTTGTGGCATTTTAGCGAACGATTTTTTAAAATTTATTTTCTTGTTTTTGTTTTTTTTTTAAAAGAATGTTTAACAATTTTATTTTAAAAGTTTAAATATTTAAAATTTCTACAATTCTAATTCTAAAGATGGTGGTACCCAACCACCGAAAGCTTTTTCTAATTCTTCAGCAACAGCTAAACATAAACGATCTTGATTATGATTTGCAATCACTTGAATTCCTAATGGTAATCCTTCACTACCAATTCCCATTGGAATTGTTGTACATGGAAAGCCCATTGTATTAAATACAGCAGTATATGAAAAATTCAAAACTCTTGCTATCGGTTCGAAATGATATGGAGCAACTGTTGGATGTGTTGGATATAAAAGTACACCATTATCACCAAGTAAATCTTGAATTTCTTTTAAAAGAACATCACGTTTCTCAACAAATTTATAATAGATATTGGAACCATGACTAATTCCAATTTCTTCAAAGAGCGCATTAATAACACCCATAAATGTATGTTTTGAGCGTCCAATTATCATTTTACCTAATTCTGTATATGGATTAACATTACCATTTAAATTTGTTAATAATTTTTGAGCTCCAATACCATGTACATTTTGTACATTAGCATCAAATATTTCAAATGATTGACGAAGTTTTTCAAATTGAACTTGTTTTGGATTTTCATTTGTTTCATTACTGATATGTTGAATGATTTTTTTTAGTGCATCTTGTATTTCTTTATCAACAGATTGAACTAATGGTGCTCCACCATCATCAATTTGATAAAAAAATTTTATATTTTTTATATCGACTTTCTCATCTAAATTTAAATATTTTCTTTTGTCATTTGCAATAATTTTTAAAATTAATTTTAAATCAGTGGCGTGCCGACACATTGGACCCATACTTAAAAATCCTTCTTTTTCGTCATCATAAAATGAAGGAAATTGTCCATGATTTGATACAATAAATTTTGTTGGTTTATGTCCAAAAATTCCATTACAAAATGCTGGTATACGAATTGATCCACCCATATCAGAACCTAAACCAAAAGCTGATCCACAAGAAGCTTGTATACAACCTTCACCACCACTTGATCCACCAACAGTACGATTTGTATCGTATGGATTATTTGTTCTTCCATATATTAAATTAGAACATTCCCACCACATACACAATTCAGGTACATTAGTAATTGCTAATGGAATTGCACCAGCTTCTAATAATAATGTTATAGTTTTTGCATTTTCATCTGCTCTATAATCTTTTCTTAACCAAAGTCCAGCAGTATTTAACATATTTTTAATTTGAATTGAATCTTTTGTTGTAAATGGAATACCTAATAATGGTTTTTGTTCAGCTAATTCATCTTTTGTAAATTTTTTTGATTCGATTAATGTGTCAACAAGGTAAGCATCACTAATAGCATCTTCAAAACGATTTTCAACCATACAATTTAAAATTGGATTTATATCTCGTATACGTGAAATATAATATTTTACTAAATCAACGCTCTTTAATTCTCCATTTCGAATTTTTTCAGCTAATGATGTAACGGGCTCTAATAATATTTTATTTCTTATTGGAGGTGCTCGTTCACCTTTTCCATATATTATAGATACACATTGTCGAACGAATAACAAAAAAATACTATATACTATTTTTATAGATTTTTCTATAATTGTAGGCTTAGAATTTTTACTTTTTTTGCAACTATAATTTATATGCAATATTTCGTTATTCATTTTTTATGATTAAATCGATATTGTATGTAGGTTAGGTGCGTTTCTTTTCTTTACAATACTGATATTATTTAAAATTTTTAAAATTTGAATAAAATATAATGAAGAAAATTGTTCCGAATTTTAAACGAAAAAAAAAGAACAAAAAAATTCAAATTCAATCACAACGCTTAAGTTTCTAAAATTTTACTGACTAAAGTAAAATTTAAATTCACTTTGTGTTTATTTTATCACACATTATTATTTTGTACTTATCGAAGTATATTCTATCTATTATCGACTATTATCACATATTTTTTTTTTGTTATAATATTATAAATATTTATTTATGTGCGAAAATGCAGACCCGCTTGTTCTATATGTTCACTTTCTATAACCTAACGCTTGTCTGCTACCTATCCAATAATATGCTTTTAAAAGTGTATTATTATCTAATACTCATGTTGTTATGATTTTTGTTCCTGAAAATTTGTATATATACAAAAAATTACATATATGTATATAAATGAATATAGTGTTGAACTCATGTTGATATTGTAGTAGATTTACTACATATTACATAAGAATTTATTCCAGTCTATGATTTTATTTTATTGAATTAATTAAGGCATTTCATTTAAATATGTCATGCAATTGCTAAAATTTATAGTTAAAGGTATGTAGCATAATTAAATCTCTTGTTACACAATAAATATTTGAAGGGGGAAGATATTTGAAAAATTTTTAGAAATGTGGATTGAGACCCCCATTCTTAAAGCAAAATGTTTAAGGAAATGCCCCATTGATATATGGTTTGAGTTTGAGGTGAATTGTTTTTCAATATTTCTGCCTAAGACTCGTTTCTTTCCTCATGCCATCTATCTGCAATGCGATTGTATATAAAGAAATATTCATTATATTTTTCATATAAAAATGTTTAAATACATTTTGTAAAATATGTTAAATAAAATCAACAACATGTTGTTGTTATTATTTTGTACCCTGGAAATATTTACTGAAGAAAGGATAAAATAATTGAAACTTTTACTTAAGAAAAGGATAAACTAAAATTATTTTTATAACAACAAGAATTGTTGAGTGATTATATAAGATAAAGATACAGGTATTATGTGTACTATGTGGTTGAAATTCAAGATATGCACTTAAGAATTGTGTGGTAATAGCAACAATATCGATTTGACAATAAAATTATTATAGCTGCTTTGCAGTATAATTAAATATATTGGTAACTTTTAAAATGGTCTAATTTATACAAAAATTATTGCCAAAAATAAAAAGAAGAAAGAAACCAACATAAAATATATTTTTAAATTGTACGGGCAAAGGTTCAACATATCTATAGTATTTATTCTATGAAATAATTTAAATTTGAGACAATTTCTGTTTCTATTAAAATAGAAATGCGAGTACTAGTTCATTCGCACTACATGTATAATATTATTGATATTCATTTTTTTTATTTGGCATTTAATTGAACATTACATTCAATTGAAAGAAGATTGAGTAAACTCTAATTTAGCATAAATATATTTTTGTTTCTTTTAGTAAATAAAAACTTAGTTGTTATTTAATTAGCGAAGTGATAAGGTCAGGGTAAAAATTAAATCGAAATGTTATTAGAATTAATTGGGTAATAAAATGATATAGCGTAAAAATCAAATATTAAGTATTTATTTTTCAAAGTATTTTATAAGTAAATATTTGTATGTATGTATAGGTATATTGAAGCGAATTCCAAATATTTTGTTTGTAAAAAAAAATATAGTTATCATCCCAAGTAGCTGAAATATAATTTTGTTACATTTTAGTTGAAAATATTGTTAGACGACAATGACTTGGTTACTTTTTTCAAATTTTACAATCATTGAAATTAAATCAGAAGATAATTCAATTCTTTGTAGTACATACAACCCTTATGTCCTATTTCATTGGTGCAGTCCAAAAATTATTAAAGAATCAAGGAAAAAGACGAAAATCACCGTTTAATCTAATCACCCAATGCAATTCTACATTACAAAGATATTCACAAAGAAATTTGTTATTTTCAACAATATTATCTAAACTTGTTTGTAGGGCAATAGTTTTAGCTAATTCACAATGGTGTAATTATTTCGATAACCGATATGGGTTTTTTTTTTAATATACTTGTACTCTTTTGTAGTTATAAAAACAGTTAAGGTGCGGTTTATAAATTTTTTTCTGAACTTTATTTTCCTGTACTTTTCTCAAAGATTGCTTTAAAACTATAATTTTGTTTTTTTCATTTATATACCAGGGATCGCCAAATAGCAGTCGTAATTATATTTTACAAATTCATCAATTGCCGAATTTAAAAATTTGAGAACTGTAAAGTAATTTGAATATAAAAAAGATTTCAACATCAATATCATAAGAAAATTTGAATATTAGGTATTTTATATGTATTGGTAAATTGTGGGACTTCGCATTCTTAAAATAATGCGTGCGTGTATAGATTTACTTTGTATTTACTTTGTATTTACTTTACTTTGTATTATACTTAATTCTTAAGATTCACAATATGAGCAAGCAAATTGACGAGAACAAAACTTTCCGATGAAAATGTGAAAGCTTTTTTTGATGCTGTTTATTGTACTGAAAAAGCTTAAATATTGTATACTGTGCCCACTCTGAAAATATGGTCGTACATGATTTACGAAATTTTAATTTCCTTGAAATACCCATACATTCACGTACGCAATATATGTATGTGATGTGTGTTTAAAATAAGTTAATAGTCTAAATTAATAGAAATTAATTAATTTTGCCATTTTTTTAATTAATTTTGCCAAATATAGTTGGGTCATTGATTATAAAAGGTTCGCAAGCTCTATGAAAGTTTTTTTGTATAGTAACTATAGTTTTCATATATAATGTAAAATAAAGCAGGGCGGTGTGTTAAAGCAGGGTATTTGCTAAAGGTATCAAATGTTTGATTTAATTTTGTTATTTTAAGAAATTAATAATTTTTTATTGACAATTTTTTAAAAAATATTTTATTATTGGTTTAGCAATCTCCTTATTTCCTTATTAAACACTTTTTGTTTCTTTAATTTATTTGCTAAACACAATGTGAACATTTGTCTGTCGCATATTTAAAATAATATAAAACTAAAAAAATCACATTTTGCAAAAAAAAACTAACAAAATTAAATTTTTTAAAAGCCTATATTAAAAATTTTTTTCAAATATTCCCATGATATTTTAAATTTTATTAGCAGCCTGTTGGTGCTACCCATCCTCCAAAAGCTTTTTCTAATTCTTCAGCAACAGCTAAACATAAACGATCTTGATTATGATTTGCAACAACTTGAATTCCCAATGGTAATCCTTCGCTATTTAAACCTAATGGAACCGCAGTTGATGGTAACCCCATACAATTAAATATTGCTGTATAAGAAAAATTGAACATTCTTGTATATGGTTCCCAATGGTATGGTGCAACTGTTGGATGTGTTGGATATAATAAAACTCCATTCTCATTTAATAAATTTTGTATTTCTTCTAAAAGTTTATCACGCTTTTCAACATATTGAAAATATGCTGGTGTACCATATTGTGTTTGAAATCTTTCTATAATTGCATTACCAATAGCAATCAAAGTGTGATTAGAATTTCCAAAACAAAATTTCAAAAGTTCTGTGTATGGATTTATTTTTCCTTCTAAATTTGCTAATTGTTGATCTGAACCAATGCCAGATGAATCTTTCATATTTGTAAACCATATGTCAAGTGATTCCCGAAATTTTTTTAATTGAATACATTTTGGTTTTTTACTAAATTTTTTTTCAAAATGTTTGACGACTTCAAAAAGGGCATTTTCAATTTCTTTATCAACTGATTGAACAAGCATAGCTCCACCATCATTTAGTTGATAAAAGATGTTTACATTATTTAAATCAACTGGTTCATCTAAATTTAAATATTTAGAATTGTCATCACTAATTACTTTTAAAATGAGTTTTAAATCAATAGCATATCGGCACATCGGACCAATACTTAGAAATGAATTGTGTTCGTCAGAAGTACATGGAGGAAATTGTCCATGATTTGATACAATTAATTTACTGGGTTTATGACCAAATATTCCATTGAAAAAAGCTGGCATCCTAATTGAACCACCAATATCTGAGCCTAAACCAAATGCTGAACCACCAGATGCTTGAATACAACCTTCCCCTCCACTTGATCCACCAACAGTTCGTGTTGTATCATACGGATTGTTAGTTCTGCCAAAAATTGTATTAAAACTTTCCCACCACATACATAGTTCAGGTACATTTGTAAGAGCTAATGGAATTGCACCAGCTTCTTTTAATAACTGAATAGTTTTAGCATCTTCAACAGACTGATAACCTCTTCTTAACCAAAGTCCAGCAGTATTTAACATACCTTTTACTTGTATAGAATCTTTTGTAGTAAACGGAACACCTAGAAGTGGTTTTTGGATAGCTAATTCTTCTTCAGTTAGAATTTCTGATTCAATTAATTTATCAGCATTGCAAGCATCAATGATAGCACGTCGAAAACGATCCTCTATAACACAATTTAATATAGGATTTATTTCTTCGATACGTGAAATGTATGCATTTACAACATCAATGCTTTTTAGTTGTTTATTTCGAATTTTTTGAGCTAATAACGTTGCTGATTCCATTAATAATTCATTTTTAATAGAAGAAATTTGTTGTCCTTTTCCATAAATTTTTGATAAACAGAATCTAACAAATATTAAAAAGATGTGGTAAGCTACTCTGGCAGTTTTTTCGAATATAAAAATTATGTCAGAATAAATTGCACATTTCGAATTTCTTTTGGCATCATCGCTAGAATTTATGTATAGTACTTTTTCAGTCATATTATTATTATAAATTTGACTTCTGTCTGCAATATTCTTAAGTGAAAAATTTTATATTTAGTTGTTTAATACTACTAAGCTTGAATACAACTACTTTTAAAATTCAAATTTTAAAAACAAATTAAAAAATGTAATAAATTCAAAATTCTAGTCTGTATCTGGTTTATCATCGCATATGTCGCTGAAACTTTCTTGAATTTATACATTTATATTGCTATAATAACGATTATAAAAATAAATGTTATCGTTGGAATAAAAGTTTAAGATATCATTTAAAATAATAAAAGTTAATTGTATGTGTGAGAAATATTAATTTTAGCTGTTATTTTTAAATACATATTTCAGATTGGAATGTATTTACATTAATAAATCGTCAATTACTCAGTTGTGAGATTTTTTAGTTTATTTTGATACTGCCACTAAGGCTTACTTAATATCGGATATTTTACATGTTGAAATGAGAATTGCAACTTTGATTACGAATTTATGTGAAATAGCATATTATTCATAAGGCCTCGTATGCAGTGCTTATGGGTGCGAGTTGCATAAACTGAATTTCCTTATCTAACAAATTCAATGTTAAGTCAATAAAAGTCTCCGAATTATTTCTGTAGGTCAACAATTTCAAATAACTCCTTCAAAAATAATTCATTTAAATCACGCAGTTGCTTGGTTCGCGTCATACAGAGGCGAATTAAAGGGATTTTTTTGTTGACTATATTACCATTCCATTCCGCTGTATTTCACGTCAATAGTTTCTACCTACAACTTACTCTCCTTCTTCGGTTACTCGGAAAGTATATTTTCAAAAAAAATGTAATAATAAGAATTGCATATTGCGTCTTGCATGCGTGTCTATACATTTTGGTTTTCCTTCCTATCAATCATCTGCCAAACAGTCTCTAAACATTTTTAAATTGAAAGTTTTATGAAAATTTATTGTATAATGTTATAAATCTATATGTTAAGTATCTACATAATGTGTACGTTATTTTAGAATAAAAATTTTTTATTCTATAAACGCATCAGTGTACCCGTTTGTATATATTACATACATTGTACATACTATACGTAAATTGTTAGCATATACTATTAAAAACTTTTATATTTTGACATTTCCTTGGCACGGATAACGTCATTGAATCAACTTCACATCATTTTGTTTACTTTTAATTTGTATTACTCATTCCATTAGAAAATTTCTAATTAAACTTATTAAAAGTTCTTTGAAACAAAAATTCACCATCTTTGCTATTCAATACTCATTTTTATTAATTGAAAATATTTCTTGGAATACTCGTAAACCTTGCCTTCAATGATTATTCTATTGTGCATAATGTTATCCTTATTACAAAAGTTTATTAACCTTTGAACTTACTGATATATTTCTTATTTTTAGATTAAATCAGTGAACACCTCAATTTCTATTCGTCAAAATTTCATTTTGCAATATACGAAATTTTCCTATCAATATATTTAATAGTTTATTCTTAAGGAAGGTAGGCATGTATAGCACACTATTAAAGAACATATAAAGAGCACTATTTTGATTGTTGAACTTGAGTTGTTACAACCATGTCAATAAAACTTGAAATTTATTGTTTTAAAATTTTCTATAATAACAGAATATGTTTGTGCCCCATGCAGCAATTATTGTTTTATTTATTTGGCTTCTAGGAAAAAATTCGATTTTACTTTTAATAGTTCTCCCAAAAGAGAACTTGAATCTTGAATCTTTACTTCGATGTTTCTTGTTTGGAAATTTTAACTGATAAATTCTTTAATCTTAAATAAAAAAATTGTCGAAAAAATTATTCGAACTACAAGACTTTGCAGTTAAAATTTATGTCATTAACGCCTACTGTTATTAGATCGTGACACACAAAAGTCTAAAAATTACGCTGTAATTGTGTGATTTGAAGTAGTTTGCAAATGAATCGCTGCTTTGTATGAAAATTATTTTACATATGACTGTGGATTTGACGTCTATTTAAAAATGTTAAGCCATTTACAGGAATGCAGCTCTTTTGTTCTTTTTATCAATGATAACATTTTCGATCTCTTAATTAAAGTTTTCATGTCAATTAATTTAGAAAATGTAAAGGTATAACAATATGTTTAAAATTTTTGACAGGTATTACGCAAATTTTTTTATAATTCATTCAAACTTGACTAACGGGTTAATTTTTCATTAACGCAAAATTTTAAAGGTAGTAGAGTTTTACATTTTTTTTTTGCTGGTTTTACTAAATATATGTGAGTACACAAAAATAGAATTAATGATAAGCAGTTGTTCTAACTTCCATATAATTTTAGACATTCTCTAACTACGATACGATGGTTAAATCAGTATGTTCAAATGGAGTTATTTTGACTTATCAGTTAAAAAACCGCTTTATCTTCCCAAAGATAATAAGTTGATAATAAAATGAAATTTTGTATTTTGGTAATTTTTAGTTTGGTCATCAAAATAAATGAAACCATAACAAGAAGCAAAATAAATAATAAAAATCAGATAGGCGACATCGACCTAATAAACATTCTAATTCGTCATAAGAGCTTTTTTGTGATGAAATTGTGCCAAATTTGCATGTAAAAATTGCTTAATAATTTGGCTTTAAAATATTGTTGGCATCTAGTGATATAATTTTTGGCAACAAATAGTTAACGCACTTTTGCTTTTCACTTTTCTTTTTTAAATATTTATCTACTGCATTGCATAAAACAAGAGAGGTACCAAATTTCGAAATTCGAGATTTTAACGTTAATGCATATCTTCTCTAAACGTAAATCAACTACTTTTAGCGACATGTCGCTTTATTTATATGTTCACTTGTGCATTCAAATTTACTTTATCATCAGATTCATCATGGTTTCAAGTTTTTTAATAAGCTATCCAACTTTTCGAGGAAAACGGGTATCAGCAATTCTACAGGTCGAATTTACATTTTTGTTCATTCACAGTGAATTAAGTATTTAATTTACTTGAAATTTAATGTTAAAACAATGAACTATAGAAAATATTTTGGAAATATCAGAGCTCGGATACCAAATTTTTGCACTAAAACTAATTTTTCATTATCTGATAAATTCCAGTTCTATGTGTCAAAGGATCAAATTTTTTCAAAGAAACTAAATCGGACGAACTTTTCGGAGAAAACGGATCACCCAAGATAACCATCTACTAAGAATAACATTTACATTCTTGTACATATATCGTCCAAAAGTTTACTAGCTCCATTCAAATTTTAAACAATTATCTAAAAGACATTTTTATAATCTAAACCAGAAAATACAAATTGCAGTCGGTTATGTGATGATCACATCCAATTTTTTATATTGAATTATTTGAACCTATATAACCTAATTATCAATTTCTAAATGTTGGTGTCCTATACAAATATTCCACTATATATTGCAATATTATTTATTTCAATTAATAAATATAGGATTATGAGTTTTACGTAAACATGCGTTTTTGTTCCATTTCTATGTGCAAATATAAGCATATAAGAGCACATTAATTAATACCAATTAAAAAAATTATGAAAAACATGTTAATTTAAATTTGATTAATTTATTTTCCTTATTATAATCTAATGAAAATTTTTTATAACTTAAGCGCAAGGTAAAACAATACTCATTTAATACAAAATAATGGCAAACAACTTGTATCTTCTTTCTTTTACTCTATTTTTGTCTTATTTGTTAACATTATCCTTATACTTTTAGCACATTTTTATATCCTTGTAGTCTTTATAATAATATCAATGAAAAAGTCTTAGTTGGCGTGTAAAAACAAGTGGGAGAATGAAGCACCTGCCATTTTCACCGTAGAAAAATTTGGAATTTCTCATTAATTCTCTGTAAGTTTAATTAATTGATAGGTAAAAAAAAAACATTTGTTTCTTGAATAATAAGTAAAAAATTTTTTTGTTTCATTTTGGAACACAGTGTTTGTGGACAGGGTGTTTCGCGTTAGGTGGCAAATAATTTCAGGGATGATTCTTTGATCAATTTCCAGCAAAAAACTGTATGTGGGGGGGGGGGGGGGCGGAGTGCAGATATACTCGTTTTCGAGCTATAGCCTGTTGAAAAAAAGGTACCAGACTTTTCCCGCATATAAATAAATACTTATAACTTCGAAACCATACCACATAGAGTTATCATTGAGAGCGTGTTCTACAGGCGATTGATTGTTATTTATTTTGGTCTTACAATTAATTTGATTTGAGCTATAGTTTTTGCGATACAGCTCGTCATACATACATACATGTGGATAATATGTAAATCAATCATACGCAGCGGTTGATCTACCGTATACACAAAGTAATTATATGCAATGAGCTCCGGTAAAGTAAGTCAGAATTTCAATAAAAAATGAAAATTCAAAATAATTTAATAGTTACAGGTAGGCTTTGGTAAAATTTATAACTTAAAAGTTTTGCAAACCTAAATAGCTCCAAAAGTTACTGTAAGTTACAAATTTATTTTTTGAAAAACGTTTTACCTATGCAATATCTTTGATTATAGCTCTTATCACAGCTCATTTTTAATTCTCTATCTTCAAAAAAGCCGGATAATTTCTAAATTTCACTCAAACTAGTGAATACTGTTTTAACAAATATTAAGCAGGTTAATTTAAAATTTAACAAGTGTGATAAATTCTTATTTTCAGGTTCATTTTTATTCTCACTTGGTAAACTTATTCATTACAAGAAGTTATAAGTGATTAACCTGTCATAGCATGTTATGATTTATTTACCTAGCAAATAAACTGTAAAATGCTAAGTAATAATAGCTTATGTATACAAAAACAAAAACTTTGAAGATTTTGTTTTGGCCAAAAAACACCTTAACAATATTGAATGTTTTTCTTTTATTCATTCATACATTATTTTCTATGTACAATATTAAATCATAGTAAGAAAATACAATCGATAATGCAGTTCAAAACGACCTTTATAATAGAATCTAGTATGTAATTGTGTTTATATATCCCCTAATTTATTGCCATGTGACCGACTGTACGCATATTAATAAAACATATTATTAAATATTTTACTTAAGGGGAGATTTTGAATTCTCCTTGGAAAATAAAGTATGCTTTGAATATTATTAAAAAGATTTAGTTAGCTGTCGGCCTTCAATCGATTCATTAGTAGGTAAATCACATGTACATAATGTAAAGGATAACTAATGAAAACACAAAATAAAATAACAATAATAAATATTTACAATATTTTGAGGTCTGGGTTATGAATATTATGGACTTGAGTTTGCGTGGTTCTCAAGTAGGTTTTGTTGTGGCTTTTGAAAGAAGACGAATAAATTGTTTGAGGAAAATTTTATTAAAAAAATTTTTTGGTTTAGATTAATTTAGCTGAAAGATATAAAACTAAAGTACCAGCTACAAAAATTGCAGGAAATTGTAATCAAAGACCAGTTTCGGCTACTTATACTTTAAATAGAAGAACAAAATCAGAACATACAATAAAAAGACCATTATCAGCCGATGAAAGATTAGCAAGAAGTTTAAATAATTGTATAAAATTTTCAGAAAATATTTTGAATGAAGGCAAATTAACAAAAAGTGTAAATAAAATTTTTTACATTTCTTTTGAAGATTTTTGCTTTTCATCAAAACAATTTGATTTTTTTAGAAAAAATATTCATCGGCATCTTCATCTAGTTTATTAAAATTTTTATTAGAGGAACCAGTTCGAAGGCCGTGGTTGTGTCGTAATTCACCAGAAAATAGTCAAAATCTAAAAACTCTACGTCAACGAACTTATCGGCAATCGGTAAAAAAGAGAAGAGGAAGTATTCGCAAAAGCTCAAGTTCATATGAAGAGAGTAATAGTAGTATAGAAGAGGAAATAAATTACCAAAATAGTTGTGTGCACGATAAAAGAAATTTAGAGGAAAAATTACAAAAAAGGTGTTTCAGATTTAAAATTTTTATTATATTTAATAATTCAAACCAATTGTTACTTTCGAATTTTAAGAATTTCTGAGGATAAAGTAGTTTCAAATCTTCGTGCAATTCCAAACGAAAAAATGCAATCAAATTCAGGTTCGTTTAATTATAAGGGTTATAAGTCAACTTCAACATTATCTGAAGGTCAATCACAATTACCAAATATTTCAAATGACGACTTAAATGGATCATCTCATAAACAATTACCAGGTACTTTAAATAAATCCAAATCTTCTCCAGGAGATTTCTGGCACGATACAAAACCTGATCTACCTGGTCGAGTCTCTTTTGGAAAATCTGATATTTATGAGGTTGATTTGAGTGATATTGAAAACGAAACACCACCGGATATTACTGCAAGATCAACTGAATCTCATGTTATTCCACCAGCCAATATAAATTCGCAATCAGCATCAGTAGCACAATTACCATCAAGTTCATTAGTTGGTAATAAAAAAGCCGTTCATTTTGGAGGAAAAAATGGAGAAGTTCAATCTCAAACTTTTGAATACCCTAAATGCCCATCAGATAATTGCTCTTGCAGTAATCGTTCTTCGATTTCCACTGTAAGTGCTTTGGAGCCAAGTGACAATGATAATTCCCATAATAATTGTGTTAAATGCACATGTGATTTTGCATGTAATTCCATGGACTATACAAATTTAGCATCAACAAAGGTTCAGGAACCTATTAAGAACGACGACGTAACAAATGATACTGAGAATTCGGTTATAAAGGAATACAAAAATGCTATTAAAGATGTTGAAAATGTTGGAAAAGAACAAAAGATTTTTAAAATAGATAAACCAGAACCGTCAAAAAACGAAGAATTAGTAACTGCCTATTCCAATCATGATTTAAATAAAGAACAGGAAAATCAAGTTTACAAATCGGAATCGAAATTGACCCAACCTCGACGCAAAGCATCTACCTCTTCGAATTCAAAATTTCTAAAGAGCTATGATGCTTTTTTTGTGAATAATTTTGAAGAACGCGATATAAATGAATCAAGATCAGATATTTTATCATCTGAAGATAACACAAAATGTGAACATTTGAATAATTTTTCAAATACACGTTTTGTTAAAAAATATTCAAGTGAAATGTTTGAAGAGCAAAATGAACCACCGCATTCGAAATTACATATATCTAAATCGTTAAATAATATTCATTACAGTAGTAATACTAATAACTCAAATAACAGAAGTGAACGTGTCATTACAAATTATTTAAAAGTAGCAGGAACAACACAAAATATGACTGCACCAAAGAAAAAAGTTAATAATAGTTCAACATCTAATGTTGGTGGCAATAATGTGCGACAACAGCATTCTGCTCCTTCGAAGCGAAGCTCCAAAGCTGTGAAAAATCGGCGATCAAAATCAGCTTCTCTAACAAGTTCAGAAAGTTCAAATCATACAAAAATGAAAAAATCGGGAACGTATTCATGTTTGCGTGAGGATTCTATTTTGGATGAATTTCAATTAGATAAAGTTGACAGTTGGATGTCAATGCACTCAAATCAAAATTCTGCACGAACACCGCAAACAAGTGCAAGAAATCGTAGACTACAAAATTTTCAAAAATTTTCTAAAGTACAAAATCGTAGGGGTGATGGAGATCATTTAGGTGATACAGAAGAGGAAATTTTTGATAGTAATGGATCACCAGAAACTAGTGAGACATTGAAATCTGAAGAAAATTCTCAAGATGGTTCCACTTATGATGAAATAGTTTCGGTTATTAAAGAAATCGAAGAAGAGAAGAAAAAGCATGGTGAGCAAATAATATTTACGGTATTTTTAAGTGCGACTTTCAAAAAATTGTATTTTTAATTTTAGATGAATATAATTCGAAAAAGTACATGGATAACATAAATTCGAAAGATGTTAACTTTATGAAATTACAAGCTCTATTAGAATCTCAAGGTGTTAATAGTAACAGTCACACTGAGAGTACACAAACTTCAGGAAATGGTTCACCGGAATCTTCTGATAAACTAAAGTAAGTTCTTAATAATTAACGATTTGTTTATATATATTGAGCTTTTGAATTAATTTAAGAGATATTTTGGAATACCTGGAAGATGTTGAAAATGATTGTGATCGAACACTATTAGAGACAAGGCGATCAATACCAGAAACGAATAGAACTGAAATTGAGTTTTCAATTGAACCTGACATAGCGGAAGATGTACCTAAGTAATTTTTTTTTTAATTTTTTTATTTTGTGTGGTTGTGTATGTGTTTTCGTTCTCTGAATTTTACTAATAAATCTTTAATATTTTTTAGATTAGCAGATTTGTTAATGTTGCCAAATCATCAATTAGCACGTCGCATTATTTCCTTAAGTTTACGAGCAAATGAATTAGCAAATGGAATTCAATTGGCCAAGCAACATGTTGAACATATTCGTCAAGAAAAACAAAAATCATTACGAGTAGAAAAACAAAATACTTCAAAACGTATAGAAGAGCAAAAGAAACATTTTGAAAGCATTATTTCACGCCATCAAACTTTTATAGAACAAGTAAGTTACATTTTATTTAATATAACTAAATAAAGTTATAGTAGTAACTACAACTAGTTAGAATAAATTTCAATATTTAATGTGAATACAATGACGTCCTAACATTAACATTAATTTAATTTGATCAGTAACACAATTTAAATTGCTGAGTAAAATAAATTGCAGTACTAATTTTATCTTTTAAATTTTTTTCATAATCGAAACTGTTAATTTGAATTTTAGTTGCTGAAAGATAAGGGAGTTTTATGTGAAAAGGTAACAGCATTAACAAGACGAATGGATAGTCAAAATCAAGCTTGGGAACACAAGTTAGAAACGGAAGTAGCTAGAGCTACAGAAACTACCTTAGCTGGGGAAAAAATACGTAGAGAAAGATGGGTTCGTGAAAACACAAAAAAGATTAAGGTAAATATTCGCAACAAAAATATTGCAAAATTTTGTTTTACTCATTATGAAAACCATTAGTAGAGTTAACAAAATTTTAAAGAAAATATTGCATACATTCCGGCGAAGGAAAATTTTAATATCTGTACTACAGTTTAGAAATATTTGGTTGCAAAATATTTAAAATTTAATAATTTTTTTTTTTTTTGAAAATGTTAGGAATTAACTGTTAAAGGACTTGAATCGGAAATAAATCGTATGCAATTAAATCATCAACATGAAATTATTGAAATGAAAAGACAACATCAACAACAGTTATTGGATTCACTTGAAGAAGCTCGTTTGAAGCATGAACAAAATGCCAATGCAATTCGTGATACATTGGCCCAAGATCGTGAAATGTTAATTGAAAAAGAAAGGACTACAATTCGAGAAAGGTATATGAAAAGGAATATAAATTATGTTTTAAGAATTTAAGGTTCATTTTTAAACATTCTCTTCAACCATGTGTTATTTGTGAATTTAAGATTTTAAAATTTTATCTTGCATAACATTTTATAATTCAATACATCGCCCTACAAGTTCTTTATACATTTATAATTTACTAATATCCGAATTTTCAATTCAATTTGAGAAAATATCCTTAATAGTATATGTGAAATAAAAAATATTTAAAATGATTTTCCATTTAATATTTTTTCTTTAGATTTGAAAAGCAATTGGAAGAAGAAAGAAAATCTTTTGATGAACAAAAAACAAAATTAATTGAAGGTTTTACATTTGAACGTGATCAGATTCAAGCTGAATATCGTCAAAAAGAATCAGAATTTTTAACTAGAAAACAAGAGTTACTCGATGAAAAAGATGCTGAAATACAAAGAGTAATTGCAGAATTCCAAGAAAAATTAGTTCAACAGGAACAAAAGTATCAGGTGAGTTTAGAAAATTTTTCTTAATTCGATTTTTTAGTATGAATTGAATAAAAAAGAAAGAAAGTGTTTATAGTACAGTTCAATTTCCTTTTGATTTTTTTCAATTCTTTTATAAATTTCTTCTATTTTTATAATAAAATTTAAAAAAAAAATAAATTGAAAATCGTTTTCTATTTAATATTTGTTGTAGACAAGGATCAATGCAATTGAAAAACAATTTGAATCTGATTTTATAATTTGGAAACGTGAATACGAAAATTCATGTAAATTAAAGGAGGTTGAAAATGAAAATACCATAAGACAACATTATAGAACTGAAAGAGATCGACAAATTGATGCAATTGTTAGTAGAATGGATGCTGAATCACAGAAATGCCAAGAAGAATTTGAATTAAAATTAAGGTTTAAGAATTTTATTTTTTATAATTTTACAATGAAATCGAATTTAAAGAGAAAAATGAAAAAAAATTTAAAATATTAATGTTTTCGTAGAAAACAAGAATTCAATTTTAAAAATTTACGTATATTTTTTTAGCCGCTTAAAAGAAAAGTACGACAATGATATGAAAGAAGCCGAAAGTGTTGAAAAATCATTACGTGATAAATATAATGAAACAAGAAGTCGATTAGCTGAATCTGAAGCAATGGCTCAAAATTTTCAAGCTGAAATCAAACAATTACAAATGGAATTGGAACATAGTAAAAAGGTGAAATATTTTTTAAGGTATAATATTAATAAAATCTAAGATAATGCTCAGGCTCAGAGAGCAAATCAAAATAAATTCCAAATTTATATGGAGTTTAAATGGAACGGGTGTCGGAATTTATTTGTGTGAAGAAGATTGATTAATATAGCATTAGCTAAGAAGTAATTGAGCTGGTTCTTTAAAAAAAAATTATTAATTCCTTGGAGAGCTACATTGTCTTTAAAACTGAAAAAATATTAATTTCTTTTTAGAATTTATTAATTTGTAGGTTAATCTTTTATTAAATCGCTCATTCGGAGCCAGATTTGGTTAAAAATTGAATTTGACTGCATTTTTCGGAAAGATTTAAAAATTAGTTCCATGTTCCATGGCGTCGCTAATTCTGAAAAAATTCGTCTTTTAAGACAGTTACTTAGAGGAAATTATTTCACTAAAGAAAGTTTATAAAAAAATTGTCTAAAATAATTTTTTTACTGGTTTAAATGTGCCCCTAAATCTTTAAATAATAATCCTTAATAATCACGCTAGCAAAATAATATCAGAATTTGATATAAAACGCTCTTAGTTTAGCTATTCTGTTTAAGTTTACGCTCAAGTGTTAAGTGTTAGTATTAAAATTTTTGATACCACATCATTTGTATTAGTTAGTGTTCATTCGCAATTTTTGAACACACTGCCAGCTTCTTTGTTGCGGCCTAATTAGGTTACAATGATATAAACTTGTTAATGCTTTGTAAGGATATTCAACATCTTTTACAAGTTAATTTTTCCTTAACTTTTTTTTAATTTTTTATTAATTTTTCGTTATTTTCATGTAAAATTTTTATTAATAAAATGGCGAAGATGAACGATGATTTTCTTGAGATGAAAGAAAAAGTAAAAGAAAATGCAAGAAATGATGTTCTTACAGAAATTGCAAATATAAAAACTGAACGGGATAATGAAATCCAGAAAATTTACAAGAGGTGAGATGCAAAATTAACTTTTTCATTGCATTCCTCCATATTCAGTGTTTTGTTATTTTGTTTTCATTATCTTTTATTTTTACTATTAAGAAAAAGAACTACATATTCAAAATATAGAGAAATATTTTATATTTTTAATTTTAGAGTACAACAAGCTATTGAGAAAAAGGATTCAACTGTTGAGTTATTACAAAAAGAGAATGGAACATTAAGGGAACGTTGCGTTAAATTAGAAGCTGTTATACGGCAACAAAGAAAGGATTATTGTATTAAATAATATTGTGTCCTCTGATTTTTTTTTTTCATTTCTAAATTCATTTTATATTTTATATGATCTGAGAACTAAAAATTAATTAAATGAATTTAATACTTTGACAAAATTAAATTAGAAATATGAAAGAAAACTATAAAAAATAAAAGAGCAATCAAATAAAAATTTACTTTACTGTTGCTATTCTCTCTATATAACAGCAATGAAGTATTGTAATGTTTTTCTAACATTTTCTAAAATACAAGGATTACAAGCAAATTAATTTAATAAAAATGAAATGAAATAATATTTTTGCATTAAATTTCAACAGGATAATTTTAATTTTATGATTAATGATTTAGATTTAATTTAATGGTTTAAATTGAAAGAAATAATTTTTGTGTAAAAGTTTTTTATATACGAAATATAATCTTGGACAAAATATTTTTGATAAAAACATATTTAAAAGTTTGTGTTTTAGTTTTTTATGTAAAACATTTCTTAACATTCGCTTTTTTCGGAATTTTACAATTTATTATTTGTACAATTTATTTATTTATTACTGAGTGTTAGCAATAGTTTGTAGGTAATGTAGGAATGCCTTCACAAATAATGTTATTTGAACTTAGAAATTAGTGCTTGAACTAGAAGGCAAGTATAATTTTATACAGAAATCGTATGGTTATGGCTATATTTAGAAGAAAAGATGCTGTTAAATCGAAAAATTAGCTACTGAAATATCAAAAAAAATTTCCATTTTGTTATCCATATGATAACGTGAAAAATTTCCCATACAGTATAAGACTCAGAAATAAATGTTATACATTTATTATGAGTAACCATATTTTCCTTTGTTCTTTACTTTGTACACATAAGAATTGAATGGATGCCGCAATATTCTAAAGTAATCTGGAATCAAAAATGACTTGCAGGGCTGTATCAATTAAAAACTCCGTATGATATTTTTCGGGCCATAAATTTTTCCAAATAATAACGTTGTTAAGTTAAACGGTTCCATAACAGAAGAGAGGTGCCATTTTAAATGGTTGTTAAACATTTTTTTAAGTTGAATAAAAAACTTTGATACAAAATAACATTTGCAATAACTTCTAAACCAGAACAAGTAAGGAGCTCATATAACAAATTAAAGCTCAGTTGATCAGATTACCAGTTGTGCCAAAATAAATAAAGCTAGAATATTTTAAATTACAAATGTTTCGAACTTTAAAAACTTGTGATTCCGAAATCTGATCATATTGTAATTAATGTGGATAAGAAGACCATCCAATTTTTTCAAATCATATTTAATAATGCGACTCTCTGATACTGGTCGAATACTTAAAATTCCAAAAAGTAAAAAAAAACATTGCGCTTTCATACTAGACATCCTATATATAATACATATTTACTTGTTTATCTTTTCATTGGTTATATTCATTGGTTTTAACCATTTTCATCAGTTCTAAGTTATTGTAAAAAATGGGGATTTTCGATATTTCAACTTAGTATTTCATCAACTTTCGGTATTTTAACTTAGATCTTAATATAGCATATGCAACTTAAAACTTCAAAATAGCTATGGTAAATTTTGATAATTTTTTGTTACAAAAAATGCTTGTCCGAAAATAAGGATTGGGCTTAAAGTTTTTACGGAATTTTTAAGATTTTTTGTAGCTACTCACTACAAAATATTTTAAGTTAGAAGATTAATGTAAGAGAAATTTAAAATAATGAAGAGTACCTTATTTTTTGTAATTTTCGTGCTGTTTTATGATTAATAAAATATTCAGTTTTTGCAGATCTACTACTAGTACATTTAAATATAAAAATGTATAGTCAAATATTTTTTGATTTTAATCTTTAATTTTCACTTTCATAATAACACTTTACACAAACATCTATACAAATATTTTCTCTTTCTTAAAGGTATTTTTGTTTTGTGGGGTGAATGAGAACAAAGATAATTTTAAAATTATTTAAATTGTTTTATTGTAAATAAAATATAAAAAAAAATAAATAAATAAATAATAATTTCAGTGACAAAACGCTGAAAATAAAATACAAAAGAAAAAAAAATTGTTTTCTCTGAAATTCAAAACAAAAGAACCTGTGAAATGAAAATAAAAACAAAATGATGAAAATTATCTAATCAAAACAAAAATATAATTAGTCATCTTGAAAATAAAAGTTGCGAACATTTTCAAGGTTATCTAAACATTAAAATTCAACCCTCTCCCGGCATAATCAAATTTTAGGCATAGCAGGCAAGTAAAACAGTAATAGGTCAAATTGAATTTTTTCTTGTTCTTTCTCAACTTTATTTTTTTGTAGATTTAATTAATCATTTGCAAACATTGAAATATTCTTGTAGTATAAACACAGATACATATATACGTTAAATGTACGTAATACTACTTAATACTACACTAATATTTGTATGTGTATAAAATATAGAAGCATGAATATTTTCAGTAAAGTTTAATTGTTTATAACAAAATTATAACCTTATACAAGAAAATACGGTATGGTATAATATTTTAATAATTTGCTTAAATGTTTCATTTTATCACAGAATTTAAATTTTAATACATTTCCAATAAAATATACTTTTTAGTTTTTTTTCGTTCATCTGTTCGTGCGTCCATCTAAGTTGTCGCCAAATTGTCAGAAAATTATTCATACGAGTATTTTATGTGACCTTAATAAACTATAAAATTCGTTCAATTTATTGTAGTTGGTTACTGATGGTGTGGAACAATTATAAAAGAAACTATGTACAATTACAAGAATTTCGAAGAAAAATAAAATTTTCTCTTGGAAATGTGCTAATTTATAAATGATTACTCTGATCCAGAATTATCACTCGATTTCATAACATTGAAATTTGAGATTTCGTCAATTTATTGTTGTGAGAATTCTTTCCAGTTAATTTTTTTGTTTTCTTTAATTAAAAATAACATTAACCAAAAATGTAAATGTTTAGCTATTGGCAGGACTAAAACAAAATTAATGGTATATTAATAAATATATATGTACATTATGAAAAAATGTTTTAGGGCTTCCAGCCGGTTAATTTTTTTTTTGATTATAAAAAATTGAGCCTAAAAGTGAATTTACTTTTACTACTAAAAATTGAACTGGTTTTCTTTACTATAGTACAAAAAAGTGAATCAGTAGTTTAAAAACTAGGACCAAACCTTCCAATTACTTTGACTTCTGACAAGAGTTTCGGAAATCCTCTATCGTAAGCTGAAAAAATTAATTCCTAAAATTGCGTAATTTAATAATAAAAGATTTGCTGCGGCAAGTATAAACGAAAAGTCTTTAATGAATGAAATGGGAGGAGATAATTTTCCAAATATTTTCTTAAATTTGTAACACCTTAGCCATGCTGTGTTATTCAAAATATAAATAACTTCGAAATTATATTAATTTATACTGGTTATAATAATTACATTTGATATTAATTTTTTACATATTAGTGTGCTGAATAATATATTGGTTAAACTTTTTTGGTCGTTCCTAGAAGCTTCTTTTATAATGCTCATAACATTACAAAAAATAAGAATAGTTCAAATTGAGATATTATTATTTCTATCAAATATATATATATATATTTTCCGTAGTATTTGTTTCAGATGATTATTAGAGAACATAACTAGAGCCTGTTGCTTTTATGTTCACATATTTTTACTGAAGAAGAACAATAACATTATAGTAGTTATTATGCAATACTTAGCTAATACCGTAATTTATTAACAGAAATTGAGAACTAATACATATGCATAAATTCCTACAATTTTAATTCAATGCTAAGAATGATAAAAGCCCTATTATGAATAAAATAAATGAAAAAATTTTAAATTTTAATAAACCTTTGAAATAAAAATACAATAATTACATTAAAAAAATACTACAAGCATATATGTATATAAATACTCACTCAACCTTAAATTTTTATTTCTCAAATGCTAAATTATAGTGCAAAAATCTATGTATATACTACCAATTTTTTGCCACAGCGTTTGGTAACTCTGTAAATCGTAAAATATTATGTTAGAATTTTATACAAAATAAAAGATTGAGAAATTAAAAACAAGTCAAATTTATTGTTTAAATTTATATATTATATATTTATCATGTATTAAATACATATACATACATATATTTTATTTTTGGTATTGAAACAATTGAATTTTTGTACATGCTTGTATTGTAAACATATGTTGGTGTTGGGAAAATATTAGGAACATTTCAAAATCGTAATTAGTTTTTTCATTAAGATTTTTTTTTTTAATTATTATATGAGATCATTTTTGGTATACAATTAATTACAATATTAGATTTGAACAAGTACACTTTTGAACAAGTATCGTTTACATAATATTGCTAATATGACAGCTAAATATACATACATAAGTAAAGTGTGATATGTTGGAATTTATTAATTTCATTTAATTATAAAAAATTAAAATTTGGACTAAAAAGACTGTTTTATCTGTTTATAAGAATTTTAGTTATTTACAATTGCGACACATTGAGTAATTTTTCCTTAATGTGCTAGAAACCTGTAAAAATATTATTCTTAAATCTTAAAATCATTTTGAATGTGAATGCTACACTTGATCGTAAATTGATATTAAGAAATTCTAGAGTAAAAATTTGGCTAGGTAGATAATTAAAGTACTAATTTCAAACATTTTTTAGACTGACTAAACATTAATAAAACGAATTCCATAAGTCTTTTTATGTACTGCTATTCAAGTTAACTTTCCATATGACGCATAGTTTATTTTCAAGCAGTATATTACTGCTGGTATTAGTTTCTAGATAGGGGCAGTTTGTTATATAATGAAACTTTTTTACACTCAAATTTTTTAAAAAATTATCTTACTAAGATGATATTTTAAAATTGGCGTTACATATATACTTATTCAAAGCTGTAAACAGTGTGTGAATGTGTATTGTGTTAATAATTGCTTGATTTTGCATGCATTAATAAAATAACTGTTATTGAGTTCAGTAAAATGTTTATACTAAAGCTTGTTTTCGGAATTAAAATATTCTTTGTTAAACAATATTCGAAATTCAATTATAGCTAGACTTGAATATGAAAATTCGAAGAAGGCTTGTTGAACCAAGTAAATTCAAAAAACACTTAGTTTTAGCTTTTGTTAAATTGCTTATTCATTCAAGAAAACTTCAAGATTCAATAATTTCATTGAACATTAATATTTCATTTTAACAGACTATTTAAAAATCACTTTAGAAATAAAATAATTTGTACTTGAACTGCTATTCAAAAATCTTCTGAGGCATATTTGGAAGTCATTTATTATTGTATGCTGTTCTCTGTACATTATTTTCAAACTTCTTCATCTTTTAATGATGAAAATGAATTCTTTTGTCCTTAAGTTTACAAGATTTCTGGTAGCTTTTATTTCTTCCTCATTTCAAGATTCGAAATTGTTTAATTTTTATTTCGTTTGTTTCTTTTTCCTTAAAAAATTACTTGCTTCTTGTTTTTTTTTTTTTATTATTTGTATGAATATCTGACGATGATAAAAATCTGAGAATATTACGTACTTTTATGGAAAATGTTAATGAAAAATAAATAAAAACAAGTTTCTACTTTATTTTTTTTTTTTGTAATGGGTTAAAAAACTTTTGAGTTTTTGCTTTTTAAATTGCTCTTTTCTTATACTCCATTTTGGTTTTTGTGAGTTAAAAATATGTATACGCATTTTTCGGAGATTGTATTTTTGGAAATGATGAAAATTTTTAAAATTGTTCCAATTAAATTGAATTTTTTTTAGTGCTTTATTCTTTTACTTCTTATTTTTTTCATTTAATTTTTTCGGATATAACCGTGCCTCGAGTGGTGGAGTATTCATGAAAATGATGTTGAAGAGAAAATGTTTATTTTTAGTTATATTTTCAATTAGGAACATATAATTGAATTTGGTTTAAAAGAAATGTTATTTATATATATGTAGAATGACGAATTCGGGTAATATAAAATTTTAAATTCAAAATTGTGTGTAACAAACACCTGGCACAGCTAAGTTATTTACTTCAATGTGTTGTTTTGTACAGAAGTGTGATTTATTATTTGATATAGTATAAAAATTATATGCCTGTGTAACAAAGTTAAGCTTTTCAATTTAGAATTAATACATGCAGTTTAAATATTTAAATTCTTCTCTGGAAAATTTGAGAAGCTCTAATAAAAATGGAGTTTACTTAAGAGTTCCCTTTCGTTTAGAAAATGTGCTAAACCGAATTTAATTCTGAAAATCATAATTATGTTTTTCCAAAAATAAATTGATCAAATTTATTGAAAGGCGTAGGTTGATCTGAGGTTAATCACCTTAAAAATTTTGTATAAGATAAATCAGAAAAATTAAATATTTTGATATCAAAGTTAAGGCGAATATTTGCAAAATTGTGCCAAACAATCTGCCGTATGTTTGTATATAAAGTTTGCAGTTTCTTAGATAAGAATCAAAAGTTTTTTTTTATATATTCAAAATAATGAAACAGAAAAAAAAAATGTATATTTGAAGCAAATTTGTCTGATTTTGGTTTAGAGAGAAAAAAAAAATTAAGAAGAATTTTGAAAATTACAGTGAAATTCTTACATATCGATTTCTTTAACAGTTAACTGTTATTTCCGATAGGTGACTGTACACTCAATACGTGCCTTTATAAAATATAAAAATTTTTCATTTGTATGTCTGTTGCGCTAGAAAATTGAAATACTTGATTAATAGTGAAAGTAGAATTTAGTAAAAAAAGAACATTATTTTTTTTTTCTCAGGTGTCAATCACTCAGTGTTGTTCAAATTAATCTATCTATCTATCTTTTCTAATATACAACTGAGATATTGAAATTTTTTTATGAAATTTTGGCAAAAGAAATTTTTTTTCTCATATAATTATCTGAGAGCTCATCTATCACGATCAATTTTTTAAATTTCTATATATCTAACTATGTAGATGAAAAGCTAGGTAAAAGTTTCACGTCGAATAAAAAATTAAAACTCTACATTTATTGCATTTATTAAATTTTATTTGAATGCTAGGCAAAAATCTTTGTATTAAGATTTTTTTACTCCTCTTGTACATTTTTTATATAGAGATATTTACTTTTTTTCATAATATAGAAATTAGTCTGTTATATATAGAAATTAGTCATAATATAGAAATTTATATGAAATAGTTGTACTTCGATTTTAATTAACATAGGTATAGGAAAAGTAGAATATATACGTACATGCACATGTATAGTTCAAGTTTCATTTCTATGTAGGCCCAAAGCAGGTTCTTCATTAACATCTTATGAATTATACGACCTGATCAAGTTTTCCTTTGAGAAAATGTACATTCTTATTTATTATATAAAAAATAAAGAGTGTGCCAATTATTTGTATTTAGTAATTTTTAATTTCACTTTTGAACATTTTGTTCTCAAAGAATTTGTAGAAGAAATTGTAAAACCCCGGGATAAAGGATTTTAGCTCACATATTAAATTATTTGATGAAAATTTAACAAAAAACAAAATATTTGAACTCTGTTTGTCAACGAAACTATGTATATAACAAAGGATCTTGGAGAGGGAAAATTTATTAAGATCCAAATTTAAATTTTTAGAGGTTTTTTGTATAATTTTAAAATTCAATGAATTTTCACAGTATTTACTAGAGTTTCCAATATTAATCGGAAAATAGTCCAACACGATCGGTTAAGTGCTATAAATACATCAGATTTACTCTTATTATTAATATTAAAATAATCCTAAATTCCTGTGTTGTTATAATTGCTCGATTGATTAGATCTAAGTTGCTATTGGTACATTATTTTATGTGCTAAATAAACAATGCACGGTTCACCATAATAAATAAAATTAGTTTAAAATGCGATTCAATTACATAATATGATTATTTACTATACATAGTGTTAAACTATGCTTTTGTAATTCAGTGAAACGTCATGGATGACGTCTATTACTTATTTGTGATTAATCATGTGGAAAAAATGTAATACATAATATATGTATGTATGTTAGAAGAAATTTAAACAGAAATTACTTCATATAGGAATATGCGAATGTGTTATATGCTACTATACTTAAAATATGAACTAATTGAAAAAAAAATCAAAAAATAAACAGAAAAAGAGCAATAAAAATTCTAATGTTTCGTATACAAAATATTTTTTTATGGTTCATTAGAAACTTGTGTAAATTGATTTCTTAATTCTTACAAGTACTTTTGGCTTAACATTACAAGTAGTTTTGGCTTGGTAAGATGCATGGATAAGACTTTTTAATAAAATTAAGGTTTGAATTTTAATTATTTACTTGAAAACTGTTGTTTTCAAATAACAAAAATCACAATAAATTGTGGAGGATATAAAACAGTATTGTGTTTAAAAACCAAATTTACTCAGTAAGTGCAAATAATTATAATATGTTATGGCTACAAAAATTTTACTTAAATACTATTACTATTAAGTATTCCATTATGTCTAGCAACACTAAGCAATATTTTAATTTCTCAACATTTTGCTATCAACATATTTATTTGAACAAATTTTATTTCAATAGCAAAAGTTGAGCAACTTCTTTATATACATGACACTAACAGCAATGTTTTACTTTCGATACCTTTTATATTTATGCGTACATTCAACTAAATAACAATTTGTATAGATATTGCCTATTTTTGTTTTACTGCCATAATGATGCTATCGCTGTGCTACTAAGTCTTTTTCTGCATTTTAAATATTTGATGAATTCAACATTCATCTTTATTTACTTAACTTCAACAATCAACAAAATTTCAACAACAACAATAAACATCATAGCATAGTGTTTAGTTAAGTTCAATTGTACTGCGGTGTGGTGAATAAATAGATTTTCTGTTGTAATTTTTTGTATTTTGAAATTTCAACACTACTATAATACAATTTAATAATATTGTTGTGTTGTAGCAGTAGGCATAAATTTTTTAGCGGTAGAATAGAAGAGAAAAAAAAATAAATTTTTTAGAAAAAGTTTAACCGCAGAGCTGTGAACATTGCGTTTCGATTGAAAATTGTTTCGATTATAATAATTCTGAAAATAATACATAAAAAATATTTAAAAAATAAATAAAAGCAAAATAATAATAAAAAGAGTGAAAAAAAATTTAAAAAATTAAAAACGTGTAAAATATCGTGCGGATTTAATAAAAAAAATCTAATATAAAAAACTTTTACCAAAAAAAAAAAATTTTTTTTTGTGGATTATTTGGCAAAAATTTTAAAACATCAACTCTGTGAAAATGTTCAGCTCATTTACAGGTAATTTACATACATATCTACATTTTATATTATAATCTGATTGTACCTTCTTTAATATTTTTATAAATTTAATGCAATAGTAATAGTCTCTGCTCTATAATATTTTTGACATTCAATGGGAGAGTGAGTAAATTTTCCAATTTGAATACATATTCCTAACATTCGTACTAACTATGGGAAATAAACAACAAAAAAAAAAATGGACAATAAAAATTAAAAGTCTCAAGGATAATAATTTTTACTTTAACTTATTATTAAATTGGCGTCAGACTATTGATTTCTATTATCCTAGATATTTTGTAATAGTTATTTCTCTTTTGTCTTCATTCTCAACATATGTATTTGAAGTAAAATTATGTCATCAGGACTTTTTTCGATTCCTTGAATAGTTGAGTTCTCATAATGTGATTCAAATGTAAATGTATTTGTGAAATATTTTAACAGGATTTTGTACATACATACAAATATATACAATGTATATAATTATAAAATGTTATTTTGTATACCGATTTTTATGTGACCAGTATTATATATTGCGTAGAAAGGTGAATATAAATTTTATAAGGATAAAAATTATAATAGTGCACCATTTGTATAAGAAGAAAAAGTAATAAAGTAATTTTGAAATTTACATTTTTAAAATACAGCCAGTTCTTTACAATGTTATACCAATTTTTTTTTTAAATTCTAACAGTTATAATGTTATGTATGTATTTGAATGTGTAATACAGCATGATGTAATTTTATTAAGCAAAAAAAGAAAAAGGTTTGGTAATATATGAACTGCGCAAAATGTTATTGTCTTCCAAGGACATTACCGCATTAAAAAATTTTCAAAAAAAGGAACAAAAATAAAGAAAGAGAGTAGAAGAATTTTAGAATTTTGATTTTAGAATCAGCTGTTTTTCATTTGTTTTTATCATGTGGTAGCCGGAGCAAACATTATGCCAGAGTAGAATGGAAAATTTAACTTGATTTTAAATAAATTATATTAATATTTAAAATTTTAATTTTACTTAATGTACATACAAAAATACATTTTATACATATAAGCCCACTCGTACAATTTTAAAATTAATAGCTATAAACTTATGCATACATATTATGTATGTACATTAATTAAACTTTATATTCCCCCAAAAATTAATGAAAAAAACTATGACTTCATAGAGAGAAGTTAATTAATTATTATTAAAACTTTTCATTTTATTAGTATAAATTTTATTAAATACAAAATAACCGGAAATTATATTTATTAATCTTGATTGTTTAAAACTTTTTTAGTAAGCAATCATTTAATATGCTTGGATTTATTTTTTTTAATTATGACCGCATCTTTAATAGTATGCATTACAACTCTACATATTATAGACATATGACGACGACTACATATGTATATATATAAATATATGTAAACATATTCGAGATACTTGAGTATTTATTTTAAACTGGATATTAGTAAAGTGTAAAAATGGAAAAGGAAATCGAAAATTGTTGCATTTTTAATGACCTAAAGAATCTCAAATTTTTTATTTTAAGACCTACACAATTTAATTTTGTTCATTTTAATTGGAAGTTGAAGTTTTTAATTTAATGGTTTTTTATTTAATGTGAAACCGAAAATGGTAATAACTGGTAATACATATACAAAATAATCTGTTTTGTTTTTTTTTTTTTACTAAAATTAATTTAAAATTTTTTATCCTCCTCTTTTCGAATTAAAATTTTAAATCAATGAAATAAGAATATTATTTTTTAAAGCATTAAAAAATATGCCAAAAAAAAATTTAAAATTCAAATCATATAAAATTGTTTTCTTTTTTCGTATGTACATATACATACATACAATATATATACATATTATTTTTTGGAAAAAAAATTTACATATTTTTCAGGTAAAGGTTATTTTTAGCTAGAGTATAAATTATTGCTAAGTTGATATGAAAAAAATTCAAATAAATTGTAGTAGAAAATTTAAAAAGAATATTTTTTTTTAAATACTTTTTTTTCGCGATTTATCACGTTTTAGTTTCTTATTTGATTTTAAAATATAATATTATAAATTATAAATAAGTGTACCTACATAATACAGACGTACATAAGTATATTAAATATTTTTTAGTTGTGTATTTTGTCTCGGTTTACCAATTGAATTCGAAAGAAAAAATGGACATGATAAAATTTTTAATATATAGAAAATTAGTTTCCGCTTAACTTTAGTTAAATGAGTATAACTTACAGTTTTAAGAAGAGTTACCCATCGTATTTGTATATAAAATCAATTTTTTTTTAATTCAAAATAGCGTATTTAATTTGAAAATACTTCTGTTCTTAAGCTTATTTTTTAAAATATACTTGAACTTAAGGACTCAGGGAAATGTGCAATTTTTACTTTTGCTATAACAGTTTAATTGCAATTAATTGTAAAAAATTATAATCTGTTTGATTGTCTAACTGCATGTGGTCATACAATTCCATATGTTTGCCTTTGAATACCTCTGAAATATAAATAAGCAATCAAATAAAAGCAAAATTATAAATTGCATGTCTGTCTGAACCCTAATAGTCTCTATATAGGTATTTCGAACTTATACTTTCGAACTTACATATATTCGAATTATATGTTTAGATTATTTTTGATTGTATGCTACTTATTTTAACTAAATAATTCGAACAGAGATTGAATTTTTTTTGAGATAAGTTTGAAGTAAATAAAAACTAAAAATAGAATAAATTCTTGAAAAATTTCTTAAAAAAGTAATAATTTTCAAATAACTAATTGAAGAATTAAAATATAATTTTGGATTGACAACATTTTACAGTTCTTAGAAAGTATAGCCATTTACAAATGATATTTGAACTTGATTAACTTATTAATAATTATTGTTTGGACTAAAACTTGTTTTGTTTCAAATCTTGGTACAACTTTCAATTGTTTGGTATTTAGTACTTCATTTCAGCAATTCGAACATAATATTAAAATAGATTTGGTACATTTGTAAATTGTTTTTAATATTGAAATAAAAATTTTCAATAATAGTTAAAATATTCTGGTAAATTAGTTAAAATGAGTCTTGATTAAAAAAATTTATTTAAAATTTAGATGTTTTCAGTTAAAAAATTTATTGTAAAAGTTAAAGTACAGCACTAAACATGTACATATGTATATGTATGTACACTCATATTGAGAACTTTTCGAAAAATATGAAAGGGTGAAATTTAAAAGTTTCCATTTTATTTCTTTTGTCCACAATTTCCTATATACATATATGCACATATGTATGTATGTATGTAATGAAAATACAATTTTTCTTTGTGCTCTTATTTGATCTGTTTTTTTGTACACGGTCTATAGTTTAGCTATATTAAAAAAGAGAGAGAGAGATTTACGCTTTAAATCATAAAAATATTTTTATAATAACAAAAAATATAATTTTTTCTTTTATTAAATTATAATTTCATGTTATTTTTATTAATTTTTTTTTGTTCAACTTATTTATGTATGTATGTATGTCGGTATATTTAAAGTATGACTCATATATTTAATATAACAAAGTGGTCGAAACAATAACTTTTTTGTTAATAATTTTTTTTTTGTTATACTTAATTAATAAACTACAATATTTATAAAATATCGAATGAAAATTCAGGTTAATAAAACAATATTAAAGAGAAAAAAATTCTTAAAATTAAATTTATAAAAAAAATTTAAAATAAAAATAACAAAATTATGAATTCATACTAAATAAATTAATTTAAATTATTCTGATTTTTACTGCAAATTACAGTTTACAAAAATCAAAATGAAAAATATGACTTCATAATTCTTTATTTAAGAATATTTTTTTTATTTCGAATAATTTATGGTACCTAACTTACATGTGTACACAAATATACTATAATTATAACTAAATTATATATATTAATTATATACATACCTATACCTAAATATATTGATTACTAATTTTTAATAATAATAAATTGCCTAATAACATGTTAGATTAATTTATTTCTATTTGTTTGTGTTAGAATTGAAAAACGGTTGAATGAAACGTGTTCATTAAAAACCCTTTTTAAATTAGTGATGATTTAACTTCATCTTTTCATATACATATAGTTAAACAAAGTACCTATATGAGACATCAATATATTTTAATATTAAAAATACTTAAATATGCTGGTTTATAAAGGTAAAAACTGCCTTTGTCAGCTGAGAGATTTCATTAATCATAGTTAACTCACTTAATTTTTTTTTATTAAAAGTAATGATTCATTCACGTCTTAAAATCAGGCTCACAATATATAAATAAAACTTACTTTTCTATACTGCATATATAACAAAATATATATACCGACATAATTATAACAACTTAGAACGTTGATAAGTTTCTTGTATAAATTTAAATTAAAATGAATGAAGTAAAATAAGTAATATATTTGAATATTTTATGCACGCTATACAATAATTATTATTGTAAGCATATAATAACCACATAATGTATATGTATGTACAAGTGTACATTTAAATAAAAATGCTTCTATATTTTTTAATAAATAAGTATATACAGATGTACATCACAGTTTTATTTACTGAATGTCAAGGTTAATTTCATAAATAATTATTTACTTTTAGTTTCTGATTCAATTAACTATATTTTTGTATTGGAATATCAATTTAATATAGAGTTCTATGTAAAATTAAAAAAAAAAATTACCCTTGACAAATGATTATCCTTAAAAATTAAAAAAAATACTGATAAAATTTTTTATATATGTTTGTCACTACATATATTATGCATAATGTGTGTATAAATGTAATTTGTTTTAGAAAATTTTGCTATATATGCTTATATGTGTATGTGTATGAAATTATCAATAAAATATCTACATGATTATAATGACTTAATTGAATTATTTTAATATGATGAACACATTTTATGAATTAAATGTAAATTTAAATAATGGAAAATATGTGATTAAATAAAATTTATGCTTTTAGA